AGGCCACTTTAGTGACACCCACTCTGCTCTTAAGCTCAGACCCTGCGTCTTGAACTGTGAGTTAGGACAAGAAACTGATCTGTCATTGATAGGCTGCTGCCCTTGGATGATTGTCAGACCTTCCTGGATTTTGGTCTCCTCAGCGTAAAATGCTAGGTTGGAGGCAGCCATCTCCAAGGGCCCTTCCTTACTCTAACTACAAAACTGACCAATGGGTGCTGTCCTTCACGGCAAGCCGGTCCAAGTGACTTCCCCCACCAAACACCCAGAGACAGGATCAAAAGTTAAATTCCTTTTCAGAATCAGAAGCCCTGGGTAGGTGGGGCTGCTTAAGGGAGGGAGGGGACCTGCATGCCATAGGAACAGAAGGAACACAGAGGAGGCACCCTGTGAGTCTTCCAACACCTCCAAAGGGCCAGCAAGGCAGGACAATGAGGCAGACCAAGGGGCATTTCTTGGCGATAAAGTAGTACAGGAAATGCTGAGTGATGGATAAAGGGGTGGCTTTGTGGGTTCAAGGGCATAATGCACAGGGCTAGGTATACAGTTGGCATCTAATAAGGGAGACATTGTCATCACATAGCTTAACACTAAGCTCTTCATTCACTTATTTAAACAAACATTTGCTCATTTTTTGGTAGGAACAGAGGTTCTCAAACTTGAGTGTGCATCAGAATTGCCTGGCTGGCCTCTTTAAGATGCAGATTGCAGAGCCCCACTCCGAGTGTCTGATTCAGATGGTCTCAGGTGGGGCTCTGGAATCCGCATCACTAGCAAGTTCTCAGGTGATGCTGACCTCATCATTTAGGGAACATGCTTTGACAACCACTGGCTTGGAGTGACAGAGGAAACAGACCACCCTGCCCTCATGAGGGCATTGAGCAAGTAAATATCACAGAATGTGTATGTTCTGAAGACGGATGTGCAGAGTGCTTGGGGCTGCTCCCAAGCGGGGGAGTTTGCGCTAAGACCTGAAGGCCTGGTAAAGCCAGCCCAGCAAGCAGAAGAGGTGTGAAAATGTTGTAAAACACTCACTTAGAATAGGCAGGCTCTCTCTCACGTCATTCATCCACTCCTCCCAGCCAGTGTCAGGAAGGTAGGATTAACCCCCATTTTACAGACGAGAAAGGTGAGGCTGAGAGAAATAACTAGCCTGAGAACTCATGGCAAGAAGGAAGTCCAGGTCTGTGTGTGCACTGGACACCCACCAGCAGCCACACCCCCTCTGCTGCACCCCCAGAAACCCCCTTCTTTCCAGGGGAGCTGCCACCTGGACACAGCTGCAGGGCCCGGCCAGCCGCATTCTGTCCATTTCCCTCACTGGAGCGCTTTAAGTGTTTTCACTGCTGGGTGAATTCAGCAGATGCCTTTCGATCGCAGCCTATTAAATTAGCCCCTCTCTGCAGCCAAAAGAAGATAATTATGTTTTCATTAGCCCTGGATAATGTATTGCCCCCTCGGTGACAGCCACATTGGTGAGGCCAACCTCCTCCTTTCCTCCTCCCGCCCGGGGCTCTGCTAGAGCACTGCGCTCCCCTGCAGTCCACCTCTGCACTGAGGGGCGGGTACCAGTGAGGGTCAGGTACCAGTGAGGGTCAGAGTGGCTGGGAGGGGGAAAGGGCACCCTTTACACCCATCACCATCCATGCAGGGGTTGAGGGGTGTGGTCCTGAGAGAAAGGCCAAGAATAATTGTTATTGTGGTGACCATTTATGAAGTGCCTGCTGTATGCTGATGTCTGGACTGGTTTGATCCTCCAACAGCTCGGGAGAAAGGTGGCACAACCCTCATCTACCCAAAGGGGTCCTGGTGGAATCAGATTGTTGTGACAGACCAGAGCAGCTTCCAAGGACCTACACCCTAGGGGCACTTTTGGGACTGTTACTGTGCATCATCCCAAGGCCACCTGGTTGATGGTAAAACTCTCTTGTCTCCACTTGCTCAGGAGCTCTGGAGACCCTGCCCAGCACTCGTGTGGTACAGGCCCCCAAACACCAGGAACCACTTCCGCCAACCCTAGACACTCCCCGTATGGCTCCGACAGCCACACTCTCCCTCTTTCTCCACAAGACAGCGGCGAGGAGGCAGGAAGAGCCCCCTTTGGGGTCCTGAGTTCTAATATCTGCTTTACCACTGATTTCCTGGGTGACCTGGAGTGAGTCACTTTGCCTCCAGAGCCTCTATTTTCTCCCTCTGTAAAATGGGAATAAGAAAGGGAGCCACCTCTTACCATTTTTATGATGGTTCCGTGAGACACAACTATTAAACACTTGGCTCAAAACCAGCCAAATGAGAAGTTCTCAATAGAAGATGGCCATTGTTCTCTTTACTACCACACCCAGCATCGTCCCTCACTCCCCTCAATCCTAGGGAAACCACCAGAGGGAGGGAAGGGAAGTCTCCGGCTCTGTAGCTGTCCACCTTCCTCTGTGCCTCGTCTCTCTTCCCTGTCTCTGCCAGTTTCTCTCCCTGCCAAACTCTTTCCGTCAATCTGCCAATCTCTCTCTGCCTCTTTGTCTCTCCTGTTACTCTGTCTCTCTCTCTGTCTCTCTGCCAATCTATGTCTCTGTGTGTTTTTCTATCTTTCTGTCTCTGCCAATCTGTCTGTCTCTCTCTGCAAACCTCTCTGCCTCTCTCTCTTCTTTTACTCTTTCTGTCTGCCAGTCTCGGTCTCTCTCCGTGTTTTTTCTGTCTTTCTCTCTGTCTCTGCCAATATGTCTCTGTCTTCCTGCCAATCTCTGTCTCTCTCTCTTTTTCTGTGTGTTTTTTCCATCTCTGTCTCTGCCAGTCTCTCTCTCTGCATCAGTCTTTCTGTGTCTCTTTCTGTGTGTTTTTCTCCCCGTCTTTCACTGTCTCTGCCGGTCTCTGTCTCTGTCTCTCTCTTTGTCTATATCTCTCTCTGCCCCCTCTCTTCTCTGACTCTGTGTGTTTCTCTGTGTGTGTGTGTGTCTGTCTGTCTGTCTGTCTGTCTGTCTTCCTCTCTCATCTGCACACACACACAGAGGGCTCCTCCCAGTGCCTGGCTCCACCCCGGTCTCTGAGGCTCCGTCTTCCCAGAGCTACATTCTAAGGCTTTTGCTTTTCATTGTACCAGGGCACCTGGAAGTGAGGAGGGAACTGAGGGGAGCAGGGTTTCCGTGCCCCCTCCCCAAACCCAAGCCAACTCTGCCTTCTGCAGGCACAGCCCAGCTTTGGCCCTGACCCTAGCATCTCATGGCCATGCATCCCCTCCCAACCACCCTTCTCCCCAATTTCAAAATAGTTTGAGCTCCCAGAGAGGAAGTGCCCCTACTTGGAGCTTCTTTTGGCCCCGACGCACACAGAGGCAGCTGTGGACTCTGTTTTGAGGAGGTAAACTGCCAGCCCAGTGGAAGAACAGCTTCCCTTCCCCTGGCTTCCTGATTTTCCCCAGTTGCCATGGTAATTGAGGGAGCAGCGTTCTGAGACTGACACCACTGAAACCCAGCGCTCAACTTTGAAATGGTTCAGGCAGGGGACACTGGACCCAAGACAGGAGGGGACCAGACTGCAAGGACTCAGCTCCAGCCTCGATTATCTGAGACTGCCCCGCATCCAGCCTTTATGCCACTGTTCTTAGCATCATCAAACTCATCATTACTGTCGGTAACTGTTTCCTGGGTGTTTACTATATGGCCAGCTCTATGTCAAGGGCTTCACCAGCATCATCTCATTGTGTATATCCTCACATTGTCCCAGACCCATCTCCTAGCTCAGGAAACAGGCTCTGAAACTTGCCCTTGTGACAGTCAGGAAGTGGCAGAGCCCTGGGCCTGGTGGCGTTTCTCCGGTCCTCCTTCCTGAGTGTATAAGACAACAGAGGCCTCCACGCATCCTCGTCAGCTTATTATTTATTCCTTCCTCCCCTCTTCATCCCCTACACCCCTCCTCCTGCCCCCAAAGTCACACCCCCCCTTCCCCTGCTGGATGTGCAAGACAATCTGAAAAGCATTTATTAGTGACAAAGGGGGGTGGTTTTCCTCTTTGCCTCTTCTCTGCGCAACTCGAAGCCTGAGTGGGTTTGCTCCTCTTGGCAAGGCTGGGGAGGAAGAAAAGATCAAATCAACCAGAGCCAAGTGCCAAGTGTGTGTATGCGTGTGTGTGTGTGTGTGTGTGTGTGTGTGTGTCCTCTCTTTCCTTGATTTTCCTGTTTTCCCAAGACTGTGTGAGGAGCAGCAACAGCAATGGGAAGATGCAAAATCCTTTGCAATCTGCCCAGGAAAAGACAGCTTTAGAGTCGGGTTTATATGGTTACCCATATGTTAGGGCCCCTAAGAAAGGAAGGGAAGCTGGCTTCTCTGTGTCTTCCCCTCCTCCAGCCCAGACCTTGGCCTCTCCACACCTGTGGGGCTCCCAGGCCAAAGAAACACATCCCCTCCATTCTTCCCCCTCTCCAGATGCCAGGCCTGAGTGTGGCTCCAGAAAAGACCAGAACCAGGCAACATTTCCTGAACAGTCTGCCTCTCTCTCTCTATCCACCCGAGAGCCAAGGCCAGAACCCAGGCTACAACCCCTGTGGGCTCCCTGGAGGGGCTCGCAGCACTGCTCAGCCTGGGGGCTGTGTGTTCCACTGTCCCACTAAGGAATGCTCTCCCAGCACTAACGCAGAGGCACAAATAACCATCCCTGCTTCCCATGGGGCCTTCTCTGCCCAAATGGAGATGCCCTCCCCTGCGTGGCTACCACATTCAGCCCTCTCCAGGCTCCCAGAATTGACATTGTGTGTGTGTGTGTTTCCTGATAGAAAAAAAAAATGGAAATTAGGTTATATAAAAGATGTATGCTTTGGAGCCCAGAGCGGCTCTTTTAATGAGGGTTGCGACGTCTCCCTCCCCACACCCATAAACCAGTCGGGTTGGACGTCACCACTAATTCGTTTCAGCGATGATAGGATAAAGGAGGGACATTAAGAAATAAATTCCCCCTCACGACCCTCGCTGAGCTCACGGCTCAGTCCCTACATATTTATGCCGCGTTTCCAGCCGCTGGGCGAGGAGGTACTTAGCGCCGCGGCTCCTCCGAGGGGCGGCCGGGCAGCGAGCAGCGGCCGAGCAGACGGGGTGAGCCAGGGGCGCGCGCGGGGCGCCCAGCACTGCGCCGGGAAAGCCCGCAGCCTCTGTCCCGAACTTGGGTTCGCTGGGGCTGAGGGAGGGGACGCAAGGGGAGGGGAGAAGAGAAGGGAGGAGTGGGGGATAGGGGAGAGGGGGTGGGGAGGGATCTTAGAGGCACAAAGCCGAGGGGAAGGGGAGCGACGCGCGCGGCTCCTACCCGGAGGCCGGTGGGTGCAACCGGCGCTTTCCAGCCGCGCGGGGCGGCGGACTCGGAGGATTCAGAACCCGGAGCGTGGCAGCCGCGGGCGCCCGGGAGGAGGAGGAGGAGGAGTAGGAGGCGGGCGGGCGGGTGCGCAGCGTGAAGAGACAGCCTCGGCGGTGCCCGGCTCGGAGGCAGGTGAGTTCCTGATCCAGGCGTCCCGCACCCGTTTTCCGTCCCCAGGGCTCCCCGCTCCCGCCCGAGCCGCTGGTGTCTGCGGAAGGCTTGGGCTTTGCTGCGCGTCCCAACTTGGTTCGAGCGGCCTCGTTATCCACCTAGCGGGCGGCCCCGGGCCCAGGGCTCAGGTCCTGAGGGTCTGCGCGCCCTTCCCGCTCCAACTTTGCAGGGACCCCAATCCCTCCCCAGCCACGCTAGGCTCCGAGCTGCGCGCCGGCGGTAATGGCGGAGCCCTTGGCACCGCTCGCTACCCTCCCGCGGGCAGCCCGGGCCGGGGGATGCCAGTCCCTGGAGACCGTTGCACCTGCCCAAGCTCAACTTTACACCTTCCTCGGTGCCCAACTCTGCGGCCAAATCGCTGCTGCGAACCGCGGATAATGGCGGAGTCTTTGGCACCGGCAGCCGTCCGCGATTGGCGGCCCGAGGCTGGGAGGGCTCCGCTCCCCAAACCTCGCTCCGGCCTGGCCTCCAACTTTGCGAAGAGCCTCGTCGCGCTCTCCTCCCGCGGTCACGGCGGGGCCGCCCGTACCTCTCACTTTTTCCATCTGGGCGGGATTGGGGTGTAGGAGCGCCGTCTCCAGAACCTGGGAAAGTTGTGCCTCTCCTGCGAAGGAGGCTCTAGGGCTCACCGTGTGTCCACCAGGAGGCCGAGGGGCGCGCTCCGCCGCGGTTTGGGGCTGGGCAGTGGAAGGAGCGCACGATGAGGTTGCCTCCAGGTGGCCAAGGGTCGGAGCAGGGTCCCCGGGGCATCCAACTCCCAGGGCCACTCAGGGGCGCTTGAGTCCGAGGTCCCGGAAGGGGCTCTCTCAGGACTGCGCCCCAGAGGACGCCAGACGCTCGCCTCCACCCCCAGGTCACTGTGACCAGAGAGAGCTCGTGGCTTTCCAAGCTCTGCATCAGGCTATCTGGGGTAGACATCCGGAGAGGAGAGGCTTTCACGGAGAAGGCAGCCGAGGAGGGCAGGAACCTTTCCAGTGACTCCCAGGGTTTGTGGTCCTAGATCTACCATTACTTGTTGCGTGACCTTCGGTAAGTCTCTCCATCTTTCCCAGCCTCAGTTTCTCATCTGTGAAATGGAGAAACAGTACCTTTTTATGGGATTGTCGTGAGGACGTTAAAAAACCATAAATGTGAATATGAAGTCAGGGTAAGTGTTCATAACGCTGAAAGTGTTGCTGATACTTTATTATTATTGTAATGCTCTGGGACCGGATCTGGGAGACTCACACGCTTGTCTAGGGCTTCCCGCCAGTAGGAACTAGGGGGTCCACCCCGCAGGGTACTACGGGCTGCAGAAGGTTGCGCTCGCCTCCATCTCTACCCCGGTAATCCTGGGGAAGACGCATGGGGTTCTTTCCTCTCCTCCCGTAGCCCAGCTCAAACCCTGTGTTCAGGCCTAAGAAAAGCGCGCACGCAGCCACCACGGAGCGGGGAGGTCCCCATGGACGCTGCTAGGCTAGGGTGCAGTGCGGGCGAGCGCGCCCCTAGATGCATAATCTGACCTCTGGCGGTCCAGGACCGTGAGAGACAGGAGAAAGGACCCCCTAGACCGCTCCTCCCGAGAGGAATGAGGGAAAACGTTTCCCATTCTTCAGTGCTTCTCTAACTAGGGTCGGGGCAAAAGCAAGAAATTCGCAAACACACCAGGAACATTGACGCAGCTCTCTGGAGCGTGGATTTTCCCCCGTTATTTTTTAGGAACTGAAGATAAAATAGGAAAGGGACTCTAGCGGCAGCTCCCCAAGCGCTCAGGGGTCGCGTCCATTCTCCGCCCTCAAGGCATCTCAGCGGATGGTTTGAGAAGCCTCCGCAGGTTTCTGAAGAAGGGGTCTCTGCCTCACCAACAAAGCTACAGCTGCCCAGGCCCCTTTCCACTAGCCTGGGTCTCAGAAGCGCCCTGAGGGGCGCACAGCTCTGTCACTGACACTGACAGCTCCAAGGCACTGTCAATATTATTCACCTGGAGCTTCCTAACAACTCCCAGCTTGCCAGTGCAGCCATCTGAATCCCATTTGGCAGGTGCAGAAACTGAGGTGGGGCAAACCAAGCTACCTGCTCATAGTCACCTAGCTGGTAAGTGGCGCTACCCAAGAACTCAACCCCAATTTTTGGCTTCTTAATTAGGGGCTGTTTGCATGCATCTGGGCACCTGCGCAGTCTGACAGGTACCCGAGCCTTGGCACACACAGCTGCATTTCCCGATATATCTGTTCAGCCAGAGGCCACCCCTATGGTCAGGGGCATGGCTGTGTCTCTACAAATTGTGTGTGTGTGTGTTTTCCCAAAGTTCCAGATCCTGTAGAGAAAGAGTATGGTAGAGAGACCTGGTGAAGACCTTGGCTTGAGGCCAAGCTTAGCTCACTCCATGGCTGTGTGACCTCAGGTTGATCACTTAACCTTCCTGAGCATCAGTTCTATTATTTGTAAAATGAGAATAGTAACTCCCATACGGGGAAGTTTGTGATTACGTATGTGAAAAGTGTTCTGAAAACAACGATGTTATGCCAAGATTGGTGATTTGAAGGAAGGAAGGGAACCCTAAACAGAGGGAAGAGTATTCCATAGAGCCATTTGGGGCTTATAATGTCATCGTGGCTTTCAGAACAGCCTTTTTGCGCTTTCTCTCTCCTCTTTATTTTTGCCAAAAGGCCAAAGCCAGCCCCCAGGAGCCTCTGTGTTCCATGGGGAAGGACCACAAGGAGAAGAATGAGAAGCTGGGGGTATTGTGATGGGTTAGGCTGCTCCCAAGGGGTCTCTGTGAGTGAGATGCAAAGAGCTGTCCGAGGTACCACTCAGACAGTTGTCCAGAAACTTCGCTGCTGGCAGGGTGCTGATTTCCCAGGAGGCAGAAAGCTTTGGAGGTCAGTTCGCCCGCATATTGTGAGCACAAGCAGGTTTGACTGTGCCTGTCGCACTAACAATCTGCAGATGTTTTTTCCTGTGGTGCCTGTCACAGGTTCTGTGGGTCTATGCAGGGCTTGGAATGTGGTGAAGAGCCACAGGCAACAATCCGTGCTCATGAGAACTGAGGCTTTTTCTCATTACAAACTGGAATTTGCAGAAGTTGAATCTGGCATTTCAGGACCCATTTTCATCCAGATTGTTTGAACGAAGAGGCATGTTTCCTGCCACTAATCAGTGTGGATTTGTATGGTTAACACCATATAGGTTATAGACATGACCATTTTCCTTGTTCTAATATATGATAGCAGTTAAATGTCATCTAATCCAGCGAATACCAAACATCAGCCCAGTGGACCATTAGTGTCAGAATACAAGTCACTCTTTAAAAGCAAAGATGCCAGGTCACACCCTAAATCTACCACATCAGCATCCCTGGGGGAGAGCAGAAATACGTATATTTTTTAACAAGGCTGCTCAGGAGATTCTAATGCCCTCAGTTCTTGTCTGTCACCCTCATTGTACAAATTGGGAAACTGAGGCTTACAAAAGGCATGTGACTCAATGGAAGTCACACAGCACATTACTGCCAAAGCTGGGATAGAACCTCAGTGTCTTGACTCTTTGTCCAATCCTCATTGATGATCATAACTCCATGTTTCACCCTTCAGTACAGAGAAGCCCCGTAAATGCCAAACTTTAAAGAAATTTAATTTCATCTCCTCTGGTTGTCATTCTAATTTAGACCAACTGCTCAGAGGGGACTGAAAATAATTCCTCCCATCTTGACATTGCTGGGTGTCAGCCTGAGTTCCTGTCTAATCTTGGCCTTTAGCCCCACTATTTGGTCTGTCCCTTTCAAAGAGGAAATTCCATTTTTTTCTTTTCTTTTTCTTTTCTTTTCTTTCTTTCTTTCTTTTTTTTTTCCTTCTTTTTTTTTTTTTTTTTTTTTTTTTAAACAAAATTCAACC